TTCTGAAAGTCCTTCCCTGGCCACCTACCAAAAGCAGGTCTCTTTTCTAGACCCTGATTTGTTCTCTTCAGAGCACTTGTCTCAGCTTGGGGTCGTGTCACTTATTCACTCCTGTCAGGCTCCTAGAAGCGAGTTCCATTTGCTGGGTCTGCCTTGTTCACTGTTGCAGTCCCAGTGAGCATGGAAGGTATGCCCCCAAGATGCTTGAGGACCATTGACTCCCCTCCGTGCTAAGAGCCAACACAGAGGCATGTGTCAGACATTTAGTCCACACCACAAAGGAAGCCAAGGCACAGGGAGGTCACCCCGATAGCAGGAGAGGTGCCGGGGTGTCAGACAGTCTGCTCCTGAGCAGGATTCGCCTGGGCAGGACACCCTCTTTCCTTGGAGCCATGGGGTCTAGTTTATCAAGCCACTCGTATATGTGCGCCTGTTTGGTCCTCATGATATGAGAGACCATGAACGGAGGCCTTTCAGAATGCGGGCTCTGATGAATGGTGGGCCTATCCAAGGTCACACCGTGGTCAGTGGGGGAAGCTGGCTGCCGCTTGACATGTACCCACCTCCTTCATTAGCTCTCTTTCTGCTCTGCCAGATGTGTAGCCTCCTGTGGGCTGCTGCAGCAAATTATCACGGAATTGGTGGCTTAAAAAAAACGCAAATTCGTGACCTCACGGTTCTGGCCAGGACTGAAATTAAGGTGCCAGTGGGGTCAGCCTTCTCCAGAGGCTCCGGGGGAGAATCCTTTCCTTCCTCTTCCAGCTTCTGGGGGATCCTGGTTCTCCTTGGCTTGTGGTCTCTGCCCCGGTCTTGACATGGCCTCTTCTCTGCTTTGTGTCTGTGTCCAAACCTCCATCTCTTTTCTAAGACGGCAGGCATTAGGATCCCCCCAAACCCAGGATGATTTCATCTTTCCTTGAACCCGCAAAGGCCCTGTTTCAAAGTAATATCACTTTCTGGGGTCCTAAGTAGACGTGAATTCTGGGGGGGGACACTCTTCACCCTACTACACAAGGTCACCTCTCCTTAGGTCTGCCACCACTGCCCCATCTTTTCTTGGCTCTGACACCCTGGTCCCCACTGGTCCGTGTGACTCCCTGGCCGGCCCTTCCCTCTCCAGCTGCCCCAGTTCCATCTCCCCCAGGCTCCAGAGCAGTCTCCCTGCACCGTGGCTTCTGCGCCACCCCACCTGCATGTCTCCCTCTCGAACTGATTCTGGGCTTCCAGAGGGGAGGGACTGTGCCCCCAGCTCTCTGCCCAGACCTGCCAGGAGGAAGCATTTGAGGGCTATCCCGGGAATGCCCTGGAAGGAAAAGGAAAAAGTTAGAGGAGGGAGTGAGGGATGAAGAAGGAAGAAAAGGAGCGGGTGGGCAGAAAACCCTGAAACAGGGCAGTTTCAGCATCAGCGGAGGCGGCAGCTCAGGCCAAGGACCTTGCAGGCCTTTTGGGCTCAGGCTCTCGGTCCACGGCCAGCTCCTCCGAGATCCGCACACCCCAAACAAGGTCATCGCAGTTCTAGTGACACCTTAAAGAAAGGATGCTCTTGGGCTTCCCCGGTGGCGCAGTGGTTGAGAGTCCGCCTCCCGATGCAGGGGTCGTGGGTTTGTGCCCCGGTCCGGGAAGATCCCACGTGCCGCGGAGCGGCTGGGCCCGTGAGCCATGGCCGCTGAGCCTGCGCGTCCG